TTTTTTTGGGGGGGGGGGGAGAAATTGATTACTCTAATTAAAATCAATAAGAAATTTTAAATTTTGAAAAAAATAATTTTCAATCATATAAATTAAATACAAATAAATTAAATCTTAATTAGTATTAATCATTTATGAATATTAACAAACAATTTAATATTATTTAAATCTGATTTAAGTTAAGAGATTTAAATTCCAATGTTAATAGCCAAACAATTCATCAATATTTAATCGAACTTAATCTTCAACACACCAAATAAATTTCAAAATTTAACTTTTAAAAATTTAATAAATAGTAAGTGATATGATAAACTTATAATTAATATCTAAAAACTTAAAAGATGAGAGTAACAAATAGATCATTTGTTGATTTGATGACGAAGTATTAGAATATATGGATGAATTATTCGGTGCGGACGCCGAACGCCATCCAGAGCCCAATGAAAATGCGCCACGTCACCCCTACTCAGTACCGCAGCTAGGTACTGGACGACATGGCTGCACCTAATTCGTCTATGAACGATAAGCTATGTCTGGTATCCGCACATAATAATCTCTCTAGAATATGGCATCCTGAACTAAGCATATCATTTCATACTTTCTACCACATTATTTTATTTAAAAATACAGGAGATCGCCATCATCTAATTCTCACAATTTTTTTTTATAATATAAGCATATCATTTCATACTTTCTACCACATTAAAAAAAAAAATTATCTTTGAGGTTTTGGGAAGAAGAGAAACAGGTCTTGGAGATGGGAGATAGTGCAAGTGACCTGGGAGCCTGGGAAGAAACATTGGACATATCAGCATATCACTAAAGCTCCTTCAGATGAGCTTGCAACTGGCCTGTAGCAGCTAATATAAGCCCTGGAATATACAAAAGAAAAGAAAAGAGGTTAAATAGTTTAGATTTATATCTATCTGCATATTTATATTACCTAAAAATACTGCTGTGGGCTTCCCAGGTCTTGATTTGAATTCAGGATGGAACTGTACACCAATGTAGTAAGGATGGCCTGCTAGCTCAAGAATCTGTAAAGCTCACAAAAAAATAAATTTGAAGACGTGTATTTAGCGAAAAATTATTATGTGCGGACACCAGATGTCATCGGAGGCGAATCAGAACTAGCCACGACACCCTTCTGTTTTGTACCGATATGTATCGGGTGACATGGCGCATTTTGATTAGCCTCCGAACAGTCCGATGCCCGCACAAAATAATCTCTAGATTTTCGCAGGCAGAATAGTAGTTTAAACAAATTGATTTACTGTAGGAGATATTTTTACCTCCATTCGCTTTCCACTCTCATCACTGCCCACAAAATTTAAGCCAGCAGCTTCCACTTGTCCTACAATAACTGGATTTACCTGAAGTTGTTCAAACAATTTTATTAGAAGGTGCACGTAGACATGAACCATTAATAACAAGGGCCTCTGAAGCACATATTTCAAAAAAAAAAAAAAAAACTTTGACTGCGCTTTGACTACGCTTTACTTGTGCTTTGACTGCGCTTTAACTGCCATTTACCTACACTTTACCTGCGCTTTTCCTGCGATTTTGACGCGCTTAACTTAAAATAATATTTTATTAATATCATGACGTAATAATTTGCCCCCAAATTGAGGATACAACACTGCCAACAACAACATCAAGCCTTTAGCCCACTACGTGGGTTTGGCTACATGAATGTTTTTTTTTTTTTTTTTTTCATTGTGTTATGTTTACCGTCAAAATCTCATTTAAATCTAATAAATAAAGGTCATTTTTAATATTTTTTAAACAAATCTTTATAGGTCTCTACCTCTAGCTCTCTTAACATAAGTCAAATCTAATACATCTACTATGGTAATTGGGTCATCAGAAGGCCGCCGTTTTATATGACCAAACCATTAAAGGTTACTCTATCTAATCTTATTTTCCACTGAAGTTACTTCAACCTTTTCACATATAAGCTCGTTTTGTACCCTATCTCTAAGAGTAAAGCCACTCATCCACCAGAGAATCCTCATCTTTGTAACACTTAACTTAATATTATGCTTCGCTTTTAATGGCCAACATTTTGAACCATAAAGCATTGCAGGTCTCACCACATCTTATAGAATTTTCCCTTAAGTTTGAGGGGGCTTTTATATCACACAACAAGCCCGATGCATTCCTATAGTTCAACCATCCAACTTGAATTCTACTAATAATATCCCCATCTATTTCATCGTCACTCTAAACAATAGACTCAAGATATCTAAAACGTGCACTCTTATCAATAACTTGATCGCCCAAAGTCACAATTCCCCGACAAGCTCTATTACTACTAAATTACACTCCATATATTCGATTTTGGATCTACTCAAATGAAAATCTTTAGACTCTAAGGTTGACCTCCATAATTGAAGTTTACCTTCAACACCCTCTCTAGTCTTATCAACAAGAAGAATATCATAAGCAAAAAGCATACATCAGGGTACAACCTCTTGCGAATGTCTAGTGAGAACATCCATGGCTAAAGCAAAAAGATATAGGCTTAAGGTTGATCATTGATATAATCCAATTGAAATAGGAAAATAATTGGTCAAACCACATTGTGTTTGAACACAAGTAACATCTCCTACATATATATCCTAAAAGACTTGAATATAAGTATTATTAACCCCTTTCTTTTCTAGAACTCTCCATAGGATGTCTCTTGGAACTTTATCATATGCTTTCTCTAAATCAATAAATATCACATGTAGATCATCATTATTCTCTCTATACTTCACCATCAAACCTTTCAAAAAATGTATAGCTTCCATAGTAGACGTACCCGGCATGAATCCAAATTGATTTTGAGAAACATTAATATCACATCATAACCTATGCTCCATAACTCTCTCCCATAGCTTTAAAGTGTGACATATTAACTTAATTCATCTATAATTCATACAGTCTTGTGCATCACCTTTATTTTTAAAAATAAAAATCAACACACTCATTCTCTACTAATCATACATCTTTTTAGTCTTCAAAATAATATTAAAAAGTTTAATAAGCCAAGAAATTCCTTCATCTCCTAAGCATTTTCACACCTCTATCGGAATATCATCAAGTCCAAAAGCTTTTCAACACTTCATTTTCTTTAAAACCTCTATAATTTCGGTTTTATTAATACGCCGATAAAAACAAAAAATTTTATTTTCATTTAAGATGATAAGGTTCACTAAAGACAATTGTATTCTCACAACCTTCGTTAAAAAGTTTAGCAAAATACTCATCCACCTTTGTTGAATATCCCCTTATAATAAAAACACTTTTTGATCTTCATCCATAATGCACTTCACTTGAACTAAATCCTTACTACTAACCAATAAAAATCAATTGATGAGTTTTCATAGTACAATTATTGTATAATATTTTTGTGTGATTTCCTCCTTATCTACAACACTTCATATATTGTTTATGGCCCCATTGATTAAATAAAAAATGATTTTGATATCTTGCAAAACCGCATGTCTATAAGAAGTTAGTGTTATTAGCTTAAACCACAATTAAGATTTGTGAACACTCACATATTATTCTCCCGCATCCTCACCATCTTCCCAAAGCCTAAATCACTTAAAACCTCACAAAGACCAAGATATAATCCTAAAAAACCCTAATTCCTGTTGTTCCATTTATTTTGACCGGTCTATGCAAAAAAAAATCATAACTTAAATCACACATCCAATTAATCTAAAATTGAAATCAATATTTAGTTCGCATCCCAAATCTTTGTTATAGAGGACGTCATCCCTTTTCCATCAAAGAAAAATCAAACTCGCGCTGACATAAAATTTCTACTAAAAATCAATCCAAAAATCCTAAACTAATCATCATTATCCACCAACCCTCTAACCACCCTTGAGCCCTTCTAAATACCTCCCCATCATTAATAATTAAAAAGAATAATCATACCAATTATCATATGAGCTTCATATCTGCCACTAACCTCATATCTGTGACGATGACGCTCATCCACAAAGGCGGAGTTTCCATATCTACAAATTGGTAGAAAGACATTTCTTTAGTTCATAATTTATAAAGTCAAAACTGGATAAAACAATACATAACATGCAAGCTCAACCAAAAGAAAAAGAATAATTCAAACTATGCCAACCAATTTTGCAATTTTTTTCTTCATTCTTAGAATGAATTCACCTACATTAAGGTTTCGTTTGGGACGGTTTTTTTATTGCTTCTTAAAGCAGCTCCTTAGTATAAAAATTAAAAATTTTGTACTAGGAAGCTACTTTAAAAAGCAGAAAGAAAGCTATCCCAAATGAAACCTTAGTGAAAAAAACAATCTTCATATTTAAGAAAATTATATATAATTATGTATAACATAAAATTTTATCTTTAAATTCTCTTGAAATTATATATTTTATAGAACCTTTGTCACCCACGCTAAATTTGGTGTAAGCCTTTTTATCCCATTACTTCTACATTAGTAATGTGTAGTAAAAATGAAAGTTGTATTTATTTCACGCATACAGCTTTGAAGAAATGCAAGTGGAATCCTTAAAGAAGGTTCTCCGTGAACCAAGTCTCATTGTGCTTCCCATGTGTGTTCTGGAACCCTGTATTCAAATATACAAATTGATTATTTTTTTAAGAAGTATTGAACAAATAAGACAAGACAAAATACCTCAGGCATGAAGATTACAACAGGAAAAGGCGTCAGAGGATCAAATTCCTCACTGTTTGCTCTTTCCATCCCTAAAACCTAGAGAGGACTCAGTCAACCTCAGCATCAGTCAGCATGCTCACACATGCGTGTGCATAATAAATAAGCATAATTCATGTAGCGAAAATATATGGGAGAAAGTACATACATATCTAGAAAACTCAATAACTGAAATTTGCATCCCCAAACAAATTCCAAGATATGGAATATTATTCTCCCGAGCATACTTCGCAGCCAAAATCATTCCTGGCACTCCGCGGTCACCAAATCCACCAGGAACCAAAACGCATGAACAGCTCTGGCATGTTTAAATGAGGTCAAAAAAAGTTTATTAGCAGTAAGACTCATCTAAGATTAATTTGTTATTTGAATGCAAGTTCCTGGAATCAATATCTGCAACAATATATCTCTAATCTACTCAACTATGCATAAACTATCCAAGAGACAGTTCGAAGTTCACTGTAACCAAGATGTAGATATGTGACCTCAGGATAAAACAATAAGATTCAAAAATCAACTGATAGCACATTTGAGGTGATTTCGCAGATAAAGTAGATTTAGAACTCCATACATAAATAACTCATCAATTTTGGATACAATACATGCATTAAAATCACATGATATCTGAATTACTATATAGGTCATTAGATGCTAATCCCAAAAATTCAGTTGGCAAAGTGGTATAATTGGGTGTGTGGCTTAGTAGTATTGAAGTTAGGAGAGGCCTGGGGTTCCATTCCTCCAAAAAATAATTCATCTTGGAAGATATTGGCGCTACTGGTACAAGCCATTGCATTATAAAATTGAAAATAAAATTGACATCATTGTGAAGTTTGCAATCAAGAAATAATATCTTACTCTGAGGGTTTCCCACGCATCATCATGTACTTGTGGTGCCTGTATTGAGAAGAGATGGTTTAGAACTAAGCATGTTACAAGAGGGTGAAACCGACACAGAAACAAGAATATCCAGTATCTGAGTAAGATGGCTTAAGAAATACCAATCTTGCATTTTCTTCCTCAAGATCTGAAGCTGCGATCCACTGAACTGACGGTTTTAAAGAACAAGCAACACAGGCATGTAAAAGAGCCTGAAGATTAAGATTGACGGGAAAAGTTAAATAAACCAATTCAATAGACAGAGATCAAATGATTTAGTTCTTATTTAGCTTCTTGAAGGCTCTAGCATGAGCTGCCGGGAACAGCATGGCCCCAGAAACACGTTCAATGGAACTTCTGAAGGCCATGCATTTCAATAGTTATTTTTATTTCCAAATGGTAGCGAGTGTCATGTAGTTAAACTCTAATTATAATTGCAACATTAGAAAAAGAACTTGCAAACAAATGGACTTTTTAGTGGTCACAACAACTATGCTTCAAATGAGGTGTGATTAAAAATTACAAACAATGATAGCCCAAAAACTCAAAAGATGGACTAAACTCAAATTGTTGGGAAGTCATCTTTAGTTGAATTCTACTTTTTGCATAAGGTTCTTTAGCAAGGTTCAAAAACAAAGGTTTAAAATTAAAAATTTAGAGGAAGGAATTTATGGAAACCAAAATTTGTGAAGCCATTCATATCTTTTCCCAAACCTTGACAACAGATAGGTAAGAATCCATCAGTCCGGTATACTTCCCGACCATAGCAATTTTAACCTATGAAAAAGGTATTTTCAAAAATAAAGTTGAAGAATACATAAAAAAATAGCAATAGTAATACATACATAATTAGTAAGGTTGTCATATGACTCTGCCATCTGTGTCCAGTTCTGTAAATCTGGGGCACTAGCAATACTGGAGTGCAACTTCATATTCAGTTCTTGATGTTAAATAAATAAGTGACACAAATAGCAGACAAATAATATAATGGAAGATGGGAACTTTTAAGTATGATACTTGCCTGAGATAATTTAGCTGCTTCAAGATAGCTTTATGAGCATTTTGGTTCTAGATAGAGAATGCAAAGTTTAACTATCAAGTTAAAATCAGGCAACAGTTGCTAATATAACTTCAAACTTCAAGCTACAAGGATGCACAGCATAGCTGAAGCACTGGAAGAAAATGTGAAATAGGAGACACCAAACTCACCCTAAGTATTAGTGGAACATGCCAGATGTTTGGAACATCATGGATATTGAGAATGTTAGAAACCTATCGGATTCAAACGAAAATAAATTGAGCGCAAAATACAAATAAAGATTGGATATAGGTTTCCAATGAATAAGAGCTCACCGGAACATGACAAAATTGAGACAGTTTTTCCTTTGTACCTTCTATTAAAGGCTGAAAATGAATGAGGAAAATACAATAAAAATGAATGAGGAAAATACAATAAAGCCAAGAAGTGATTGCTTCCATAATGTGAAATGCATTGTCTTAATGATGCTATATTTACTATAAAAAAATAAAAAGGACATTACATTTAAAGGATAAATATTATATCAAGTTCTGATTGTTAGAAATTGATAAAAATATAGTAGGTTGAAGCCAGAAACAATCTTGGAATTTAGCTCATGCATTTACCGTCCATATTTACATTTACATTTGGTCATAGAGCATAGAAGTCTTTTCAAAAACTACCTAGATATTTTTTTTGTCGTTTTAAACTTTTTGAATATAAAGGCCATATAATTTGCTCGCCAGTGCTACTTTAGTCCATGTCATTGTATCTGTTAACAACTCGTTATTTCTTCAATCTATAATTAAAGAAATTTGGAGACATTTAGAACAATTTTGGAATGAATAAAATTATTGTTTCAGGCGTGAAATTCCTTCTTCATCTGCTACAACATTTTAATTATTAATCAAGTATGGGATTTGATATCATCCGAGGAAGATCTCCTTGTTCAAGAAAAAAGATTGCTTATCTAGGTTTTTCTAAGTTGTTGATGTCTTTTGGACATCATGACCATATAATTATTTTGACAGCGTTCTTTTAGTTCAATCGATGAAGTTACAAACAAGTAGGGTTAAATAATAGTTCAATCAATGAAGTTACAAACAAGTAGGGTTAAATAATACTTGACAATTATGTTCACTGGTAAGTTTTTGTATGGAGATTAGGTTTGTGGATAATTGAGGTATGTGGAGCATTTTTTAGAGTGAGGAAGAGAGATAAGGGTATGTCTCCTTGGGCTACTACTGTGATAAGAGAAGCATAAGCAATGATGATTTTCTTATCACTTGGGCAAGGAGTATAGTTGAAGTGGGTAGTAGAGTGTGTCATGTGATATGTGGCTCCTGAGTCAATGATCAATAACTCTTTCAAATGATTTCTAGAGGCACTTAATTCAATAGATATAGAAACTTACCTGAAAGTGTAAGAGAAGAAGATGCAAGTGATTTTTCGAGTGATACTAGGAGTATGCATCTGTAGTGATCAAGTTTTTGCCACAAGCTTTGAAGGAGAGTGGCATATTCAGTTACGATCTTGCTTCCATATATTGTGCTTCCCACTTTGACTTGTAGCATCCCCATCCTAGTCGTCGGATCAAAATGCCAAGGGATGGATAGGATTTAACAAATTTCAATATATATTACAAAATACCCTTATTTCTAATCACACCATTTAATTTTAATGTCAATTTCTACCACTTCTAGCTGAATGACTATTTTGACTCCTATTTAAGGAGTTCAGAGACTAAATTAGATTTTTAATATAGTATGCCCCCAATAGCCAAGAAATCATTTTGGTATTTTTCTCTATAAACAAATGAATTCTAGACATTTATGAAACTATGGAATGACAAACATTCTAGTTCTAGTTGTGAAATCCCTTCTTTATCTACTCTGGCATTTTAATTCTTAATCAAGGATGAGATTTGATATCTTCCAAGTTCCAATATATGTAATCTCCTTGTTCAAGTAAAACGTTTGCTTATCTGACTCTATTTATTTAATCAAATCTTTAGATTTACCCATCTTTTCATCTTTTTCATTTTCGATATGATTTTTGCAAGGTTTTTCATGATAATCTTGCATCAATTGAATAAATTTAGGTTTTAAAATCTTCATCATCTTTGTCATGCATTATTATAAGTTTCTTTTCCTTCATTTAACGCATTTTTTTCCCACCATCCAAGTAATGTATTTTCACTTCCCTCACCATCCCTACCAAAAACATAAACTTTCCCTCTAAAAACCTCTCCCTAAATCATCGATATAGTATGCCTAACCCCACCACTAGAAAGTAAAAAAACACAACCATTCAACTTCAATTAAGGTCAAAAATTTCAATACTAAATTTATTATCCTTTCTAAAAATTCCCAATATATCTACACCTTTTTCACTCCGAAATTCTACTCACAAATCTTTAATTAACTCAAAAAACAACCCTTTTTAAACAATGCCATACATTCCATCCAAAATTAAAACCTTTTGAAAACTATTTTATTGTGTCGAATTTTCAATGAATAAAGCTATAATATATCTTTGTTGTTCAATTTGATTTACACCGAGATATGTACAAACAAATTCTTAACAATTTTTTTATGAAAATTTTAAATATCCCCAAGGGTTCTAATGCATTCTAATTAAATTTTACATCATTTGAATAACTTTACTTTAAATGGGGTTGATCATCCCTTGAATATATATTTTTTATTAATTAAGCGCATATTTCTAGTTTGCAAGTAATTACTGCAAAACTTTGTGAAATTGTATCCCTCTTAAAAATATCAATATCGATGGTCTAGAAAGTTTGTAGGCATTTCATCATTAACCTGAAAAACAACATATTTTATTGCACTATTCATAATTCATGCATATGTGTTACTTCCTGACCTTAGAAAACTAAAATCTAGGCAAAATGATGATTTTATAGCTATAACGCAACCTTAGTAGTGCGTATTAATGTGAGCAAAATATATTTTAGTTCAAATCTGATGTAGACACAAAAGTAAGAAAATCGACACAAGGAGAACAATGGATAGAACTTAAACCAAATTGTATTAAAATAAAAGCAAATAACTGAAACTTCAAAATCCAACAAGAAAACACTAAGAGATTTTAAGGAAATAAAGAAAAATAAAAGACGCTATCCTCAGACAACCGTCAGAGCGGGTTCCTCACATGCATCGAATTGTAGGGTAAATAAGATAAGTGCATAAGACTAGCAAAACGATGGTCCACCACTGCAAGATTGTCCAATTTCTTCAACAAATGCTTCCAAATCAACCAAGACACGACACCCTAAAGTTGCTTCACTTTGAGAAGAAGGATACATATGGAGTGGCACTTGCGGAGAGACGAAAGAGGTTGGAATCCGAGACGAAAGGTTGGAAAGAGCTCACAAGATTTCTGGAGGGGATGAGAAAGAAGGCGGACAAAGCTCGCAAGCTTTTCCAATAACTCGCAGGTCAATAGCAATTTTGCTCACAATAATCAACTCCCTTCCTTCACAACTTCTTCTCATATTTATAGGCAAGATAGGGGAATGCCAAAAGTCATATATTAATTTTCCACAAGAACCCAAGAACCAGGTTCATGAAATTCATTTGCTTTTCATGGAAAAACTGCCCGAGCCAAGGAACCGAAGGGGCATTCACGGGAGCCAAGCAGGTCACACGGAACCAAAGAGTCACGGTCACGAGAAAGAGCCCAGGCACGAAGAAAACAGCAGCTGGCCGGATTTCCAAGAGATAAAGGCTCGGAAAACAGCAACTCCCCTTGAATGCAATTCATAGAAATAAGCCACAATTAAAAGACAAGCCAAGGTTTCCCAAGAGACAAGAAGAAAGGGGAAGGAGAAGGGACAAGTTGTTGTAGAACGTACATGCGAAGATGAATTACTTTATGGAATTTGCACACTTAATATTCATAGAACAAATAGTTATATTTTAATGGTGAATTTAAACGATGCTAAAACACAAAGAATGATAATAAAAGCTTAGGCCGAATCACAGGCGTAAAAGTTGAGATCAGAAAACAATCAAGTTAATCTAACGTTTTATACATGAGAGGTGTTCAACGATAATCCCTAAACTAACAATGAGTTTAGTCACTAAGAGACGCCCCTCACTCAACTCTTTCAACTTCTAGGCGTTAGCGGAGAGAATGGCATGAACCTTCATGAATCACTTATAAACCACAATTGAGTAGCAACTAAGAGATTAAAGATTTGGAGGAGAGTTTACCCAAATAATCAGAAGATACAAAGTTGCAAGGATACAGGCTTGGAAGGAAGTAGGTGGCATCCATTGTTTGAATAGTTGCTGTGGTCAACAATTTGAAACATCCGGGTAGCGTTTGAAGACCTTCCAATTGACTGGACAGCAAGATACAGGTGCAGATTTTCCCTGGACGGCAACTTCAAGCTCTCAGTTACTGGACTCAACATCCATGAACCTTCTTGAAAGCGTGGTCAACAATTTCAAACATCCGGGTAGCGTTTGAAGACCTTCCAATTGACTGGACAGCAAGATACAGGTGCAGATTTTCCCTGGAAAGCAAACTGCACTGTTGGAAATAACTTGGGCAGCATACGGGAGTTGCCGGACTGTTGGGCAGCAATGGAAGCTGGCTGGAATTCCTTATGGACAGCAAAATATGAAATCCTGGACGTTGGGACAGCAAAAGAACTTGCTGTAGCTCTCTGGATAGCTCCTCGTGGATGAACACAGAGGTTGGATAGTAGTGTTGTGCTAGCAGAAAATTTCTCCCCTTGGTCACGGCTTAGGGAAGAGTGAGATTAGGGGATGACTCTCCAGAAAAGGAAATCTGAAAACAGTATCAGATTTTGTAGCTTGCGGTGGAGGGAAAAATCTGAAGTTATTTTCAGATTCATCTTAGTTAGGGATTTGAATCTTGAAATTCAAATAAGAGAGGAAGAAAAGGACAAGGGGAGTTTAATTATTTCCCTAATTGAAGCCTTCAATAAGGAAGGAAATAATTAAGCAAGAGGGGAAGAGGGGTCGGCCATAAAGAGGGAGGGGAAAATTGTGTCCACATTCAATAAATGTGGACCAAGGCCTTAGTTGCGATTGGGAATTAAATCTGAGATTTATTTCAGATTTAAGGTGAATTTGGAGGGAATTAATTTGAAATTTGAATTCAAATTAAAGATGGGTAGGGAGCTTTAATGGACATTAATGGGGAAGCCATTAATGGGTGGCCGGCGGCATTGAGAGGGAGGGAGGGAATTGGGGAGGATTTTTTAAGCTTCTAAATGCAGCCCACTAAATAAGGAGGAGGAATAATTACATCCTATTCAATTTAAAATTAAATTGAATGAGATTTAAAACTTTCCAAATATGGCGGTGACAAATTAGGAAAGATTTTGAAATTCAAAATTCGAATTTAAAAAACCGGGGACTTCTCTTTCCTAACTCAAGGGATGTTATTTTGGGAAGGTATAATGAGGCTATTAACCCTCATTAATGGTGGGGGCAAAGAGGAGGGCCGGCGGTATGGAGGAGAGGGGGGCTAGGGAATTCGGTGGGGAGTTGGATATAGGCCGGTGGTGGGGGTTTTGGGAAGAATTCGGTGAATGATATCCAAGCAAACGGTGGCGGCGGAATTTGGGAGGGAGGTGGAGGAAGTGGGGGAGAAAGGAGATGAAAGAAAAATACAAATAAGATAAAAGTAAACTAACAAACTCACAAAGAGATCGTAAGAACCGCGAATCTTGGACTCTTCCAAAGGTTGACGGGTATTGCGGTCACCCTCCTCGGGTTTCTCCTCTCATGAACTCACTAAGAGATCAATCCCCTCTCATGAACTCACCAAGAGATCAGACAAGTATAATAAAATTTTTCATTAACAATTCATCATCCCAAAATACAAAACTACTAGCCTATAAATAGGCCTCATGAAAAGAAAAGAAATAAAAGACTGAAATGCCCTTCGGGCTACAATATTACATGATCACCCGTAAGGGTATAAAGGGAAAAATAGCAATATAAAATAAACTAATACATAAAACATATAAATAAATAACTCAAGATCATAGCCGTTGATCTCTGATGTCCTCATCACAAGTCCATCCCATCATTGAATCCTTCATAATGAGCTACCTTTTGGACATTAATGAGCTACTAAACTTCAGCTCAAGCAACTAAGAGAATGAGCTCCATCCAAACCTCCTCCAACCAACCCGTGAACCAGTAGAAGAAAATGGACCAATCAAGCCAGCAAACCAAAGGTCTACCAAGCCCTATGCACAACCTACCATAATCATTGGATGCTTTCCCATCATTGGATAGCTAAAAAAAAAGAAAATAAAATGAAATATACTATTGTTCAAATAAAATAAAAAGTACAGAAATTCTTGATAGCATCAAAATCATTTTTCTCACAAATAGATCCTACAAGTTCACAAAAGTTGGTCCAATGCCACTTCATACAGCACTACTCATAAAGTTTACTCATGTTCCCTTCAGATATTGTCATCCTCTGCTCACTCGAAGAATTAGCCACCATTTGATGATCTGCCAACAAGTCATGTTGCTAAGAGCTAGATCTTGTTGATGTATCGCCACATGTGCTCTCCAGAGTTGAATGATTTAAAGACTTGGGAAACTGATGATTGTAGGCAATCTTGATGTTCAGCTCATATATTTTTGTTTATGTTTATGTTTCATACGACATAGAAGTTTAATTCAATAACTATCTTGTTTATCCGAGTCATTTGACATCTTTTGCACATCACAAAAATTTTATTATCTGTTAAATGTCACTGTAGTTTGTATTTTCTTATTAGTTTATTGTCACTGTAGTTTGTATTTTCTTATTAGTTTATTGATAGTTTTTTTATTTTTTCATTTATAAATAAATGAATCCTAAAATATAGTGCTATTTGTTCTTTTTAAATTTTTTAGTGTTGGCCATCTTTTGCATCTTCTTAATTATTTTCTAGTTCTTTCAAGGCAACCTTGCATCTAAGGCCCTGAAAAAACTACATCCCACGACTGAAGAAAAGTAGCATTCTGATAACAAAAAAGGAGAGAGTAGCCTTGATATGGATCAGATCTGTTCCATGAATTTCCACATATATATATATATATATATATATATATATATATAGAGAGAAGGGAGAGAGAGAGAAAGAGAGAGAGAGAGAGAGAGAGAGAGAGAGAGAGAGATATTAATGGTTATGTTCTTACCTGATCTGAACGACATGCTAGTAGGTCAGGAGTCAAGCCCAATGCTCTCAATTCTCGAACACTATGCTGTGTAGGCTTCGTTTTCTATAAAAAAAAAAATTGAACGAAATTGCAGATAACAAGTTTAGCTTTTAGAATTATTTCAAAAAAAAAAGTTGATAAACGTTTATGATGTCATGTAGAGGAAGATTAAATAACTCCCAAAGGCTCTCTAACAAAAAGAAAAAGACATTTTGGATTCTTCTCTCATGTCATTGAAAGAATCAAACGTTTTTATATTAATAATAATATGATTCATGTTCATGGAAAAAAAAAACAAGGACTACTCACCTGCTCACCAACAACACCAAGTACAGGTACAAGGCTTACATGAATGAGACAGAAATTCTCCTTTCCTACGAACAAATAAAAAACATAAGTTCAGAAACCATGATTTGGGAACGATAATAAAATATGTTAATCAAAATTCTGCTCATTACACATCGAAGCAAAGATATCCATAAATATATCAAAATAAAGCAATCACTGCAATACCTAGGATATATCATTTTTTAAATATCAAAAACAATATTTATGTGGACATTCACCACTTTTCTCTAGTCCATACCGTTGTCTATGTTTTCATTTTTCAAGGTTCTTAACATTTTTGTAGCACCTAAAGCAGTACATCTATATTGTATTAATAGCATAAAATATTTCCTGCTTTTATTTACTAAGGTCACGGCATGTAGAGCATTTCAATGGTTGTCACATGGTTTTCAAATGTTTGGTTTCTTTTAGCATGTAAAACTAGTTTTTTCGGGAACTAGAACTATTTGTGGCGTTTAGTTGTAGTTACATTATGCAGCATGTAGAACTGTTCCATTTAATCGATAAATCAAATTTGCAAAGTTTTCCACATTCCAAGCTTTTAGTAATTAAGTTTTGTGAAGGGTTAAATGCACTTTTTTTTGTTCATTAAGATAGATCAGTAAGTTCCAAGATCATACTTTTACTTTCCCAAATTTCTAACAAAACATCATTTGAGGGTGGCACCCTCTTCCACAGCCATGCTTGTGTGAGTGCGCACCCATCCCCACACTCACCAATCCACACAAGCCCACAATGCCCACACAAACCGATGTGCACGCGTGCTCGCACGCCATACCCCAATAAGTGAATAACAAGATAGGATGGAATGGAAAAAAAGCTAAAAACTATCTCACCATTCACAACTCCAGCACCTATGATGGTGTGCAGGGAAAGGTTTTCACTCTTCTTGATGGAGATGGGAGAATGGATACAAATCCTGATCAAGAAGATGCTAAAAAACTCATATGGTTTATATCTCATGTAATTTGTCTACTCTTCATATGTATTTATTCATTCATATGCGAAGATGAACTTACATAAAAGGACTTCTCTAGCATTTGCATTTAAATACTATTTTTAAGTTTAAGTGGCACTTCATAGAATGCAAGGACTCATGTGCAAATCATAACCGAAGCCTCTAAATGGCTAAGGCGTCCATAAAAGAAAAATGATTGCAATGAATTTTTCCATTCCCAATTGGACAGCATTCATAGGATAGGTTCCAATGTGTGATGCGCACTATCCTGGATACTAAGTGTTTCCTTCTCCCTTTCAAAGTGCTAGGAACCCAAATTAAATGTTCGTCATAAAGTTTTTCTTTCCTCTTGAGATGAAGAGAAGAAGAAGAATATTATACATAGATGACTACGGCATCCATAAAAAGAATGATAATTGAAATGAATTGTGCCTTTCACAATATGGGCAGCCTTCCTAGGATAGATTCCAAGGTGTGTTGTGTGCTATCTTGGACACTAAGTACTTCCTTCTTACTTGATAATTGCTAGGAACCTAAACTCGATGCTTATTATAAAGGTTCTATTTAATCTTCAGATGGAGGGGGAGAACAATAACATGAATAGCATGGCGTGTGCAACTTGGATCTTAAGAGCACTTAATTAGCCTCACAGAGAAACAGACTTAATTCATCATCAATCAATAATCAATAATCACACACCATGTACTAGTATTTAAAAAAATAGGGTTATAAAGATAAGGCCGCATATTTGAAAGCAAATACAGTCCTATATAATCCTCACAAACATTCAAATCTAGATCTAATCTTATCCGGATAGAGTTAAATAAACTGATAAAATAAATCAAATTTAAAAATAAGAAAATATTTGCTATAAATAGAAATGGACATAAAAAGGGATAGAAAATAAACCATGTACAGATATGTTATGACCTGATTTTAATTTTTATAACTGGCCTATGGCCAACTGAGCTTTTTGTATGTTAGCCAGAATAAGGTGATATCACTTGCACTTCTTCTGTTTAACAAATCTCAATAAGAAAGAGCATCAAATGTTAATAATGATTTTGTACATGAGATGGAAAAGATGAGAGGGAGAAATACATATGGATTTGAAGTAGTGATAGGGCATGAACACTACGATCAAATAAATTGAACTCATAGAAGACAGATATTTTAGAGAAAAGTAATTTTATTATTCCCTTTTTAATGCAACACTGATAAAAAAATGATCCCTCATATAGTTATTTTTTAGCTCTTTTGAATGACCAGAATAATTGAGCAAATATGGATGCGGCGAGCAAGTAAAATAGTTTGACATGCAAACATTCGCCCCACATATCACTTAATTTTATGCGTTTATCACGTAGCAATAGACATACAATTTCAAGTTATTTAGCGAGTAATTTAAATTGTGATATTAACTATTTGAGTATGATTTTGTGATCAAATTATATAAACAATTCCCCGAGTTATGGAGCCAAGGCATTCCCAAACAAGTAGCTCGCTCCAACTAAGTTATCGTCAAATGAAATGAGCCAGGTAACAAGATTCAGTATTCTAGAAAATTGTGAAGCTCATTCTCGAGCCATTAATATATTCAAAATAGTTCAAAGGCTTTTGTCATTATTAATCTTAATGAAATTGGAACAAAACCCTAATTGACAATTACATAAATAGCAATTTTGGGGTTTATTCCAATATCCAAGTAAATGATAAATGCAACCCATTCCTAAGAGAGAACCTTTTTGTTCAGAACACAAAAGCATTCATTATATATATTTCAATACTATAAGTCAGTAACCCAGCCTTCAAACGTGCTCATAATTTATAATTCATATACAAATGACATAAGTTGAACAGGGAGAACATAAGTAGCTGTGATAGCAAAATTATAGATTTAATATCGCAGTTTGGGCTTAATCAAGAACAAACACACTTTTCAGAGAAACTAAAGTAAAAAATTTGTGAGCTTACCAAGAGAAAATGACAATTGACGAAGAGCTTCAATAAAAGGCATTGATTCAATATCACCTTCAAAAGTTAAAATATTAGTAACTACAGCAGCACCTGAATAGCTTTGGCCTTTGTGCCTCTATGCCCATGGTGTAAGGTTGAACATTAAGTATTTGTATATCATACCTACAGTTCCACCCAACTCTATTACACAAACATCAGCAGGTTGATCTTTTCCATCAACAGGAATAGATGATACTGACTCGATCCAATTCTTTATGGCATCAGTTATGTGAGGCACAACCTAGGATCCCCAATCCCCAATCATAAACTTACAATTTCAATAAACTTTTTGTAACATAATATCGGTTCAAGAAAAAGGCAATGTCTCAAATAAAAAAACCTGAACAGTCTTTCCAAGATAGTCACCACGTCTTTCTTTGTCGATAACAGACTGTACCAAATTATAATGTATATAAAAAATTCAGTGCCACATAATATTTTGTGTTATAATAAGCTTCCAATAAAATGGACTTGCCTGATATATCTTTCCCGTGGTGATGTTGTTATCCTTGGTAAGTCTAATATCCAAGAATCGTTCATAGTTTCCCAAGTCTAGATCAACCTGTTAATTGGATAAAATCAATATAAGATACCTCGAATGAATAAAGCAATAGGTAAACCCACAAATAGAGCAAGAAACTGCATGGTAGTTACAAAAATTACAAAATGTTCCATAAAACCTTAAAGCATCAAACATCAATGTTCAATAAGGTTGAAAATGGAGTTTTTAAAAGATATAATTTTTGTATTAAGAGTTCATGTAATATGCAAAGGGTGGATGGTAACCTCCCCACCGTCATCAAGAACAAAAACCTCCCCATGCTCGAAAGGAGACATGGTCCCTGCATCAGTGTTCAAGTATGGGTCTGCACAAGAAACATTATATCTTTAGATGTACTCCACAGATGTTTGAGAAGTAGAAAACTAAGGTTCTAGAAAATTTTAATATGCAAAAGACAAAAATAAATGCTACTTCTAATATAGACATAATGATTGCACTAAATACATTTGCCAAAAAACATAATGGTAGGGCATTGGCAAGTTAAAGCATAAAAGAAGAAAAAGAATCCTTGCAACTGATTGTAATTTGTCAAGAATCGCACAGACATGTATATGCCAAAAGTTGTAGTTTTTATAGGCTTCAGTTTTTATGCACTCCATGGATTAAGTCATTCTTGATCGAACCACATAACTTAAGCAATCATGTCTATCTATGCGATTATTTATTATTCTGTCATAATTATGTAATTATTTCTCCTAGATTAATCCCATTCACTCTTTGGTGTTCTCAAAGAGAGTTGTTTTGAACCTTCTACTGCAACATCAGCAAACACCTAAGAGCTAAAAATCCCCCCACCCTGTCCACAAGCCATCATTAATTCCTGCTCACATCTCCTTCAACTTCAAAAGTTTTCAATCTATATCTTCCTTCTAATATCTACATTGGAAACCATTAGCCTATCACCTATTCCTCTTCGCATCCTTTCACCCCAAAATACCAACTTCTCCTTCAACATAGTATGGTGCACATTTGTAAGGGAAGGGATAGAAGGCAATTTGATCGCTATCAAAAATAATCATAACTAAAACTGGAGAGTTTAAGGAAAGGCTTACGGCATTAGTAATTTTTCTCTGCTTTCTCCCACCCATCCATCTTATGCTGTGAATGATATAGGAGGTAGTGATGATTGGTAAAAGATGATTCCTTCCTTCTACCTTTGACAAGCATAAACCTCAAAAATTCAAACCTTAGTTCTGTGAGATTGATAAAGTTTAGACTGGTACACTTTGCATGATTTAAGGGCTAAATATATCAAAATCATTATGTTTAAGCCAAGTAATGACCCAAGTCAAACATTTTCAAAATTTTAAAATCTAGTCCCTCAAGCTTTTTAAAGCATTTCATACATGCACCAAATTCATGTATGTCTACAAATCAAGAATTTATATGATAAATTTATCAATAAAAAAAAATCGAAAGCCTTGATAAAAACTTTTGAGAAAACAAGTGATTACCTACACAAAACTTAAGATACATGCTTGTAATTTATCTTGTTTATATTTACTATGACATGTTCATGGCCTCATGACTATCACATAGTTTGAAGTTTAAACCCTAAACTCATAAAATAGAAGCCCATATTACCCACAAAAATTACTAAAAGTTTATCTGAAAGGTATCCACCAATTTTGATCAATTAATTTAAATTGGCCACTTTAGATCAATTCTGCATGAATTGGTCACTTTGGCAAAACTGACTCTATGATTAAGTTAATCCAAGCTAACTTGACCAATGAGTTAAGTTATTTTAAACTCCAAGGACTCAAATGGAGCCATGTGTAAATTTACATGAATAAATGCCACAAAAGGCTACAAGAAATCTACTAACATACTGTAAGCATAAAAGAGTGCCACATCAAATGGAATATCACATCATCAAACCAGAGCACTCTATATGTAGTATACTATCCTTCCTTGTCCAAGGAAGAGACTAACCACCTCCCGCACTGCTAGGAATATTTTATTTCCATTGGATTACCTTAAGAATGCTGATTATTTCATTTACTTATTTTATTGATTAGATGGCTAACTACTTTCTCGTAATTCCATGTATAGTGAAACAATTTATTCTCCCCTAATTTAAATTAGATAGGAACTCTGGTAAGCTTCATGGATATTCCAAAATTAACGATAATCAAATAGACTTAACTCCTCTCTCTCACACACACTAGTTTGCCCCTACTCTCTAGCTTAGGGACAAAGGGGTCTCATCTCACTATCTCTTTCCATCCATGATTGCAAGTAAGGGAAACCAAATTCCAAGAAAAGTGAATCCTAATGAAACTCTCGTCCTCTCTCTCTCTTAGCCAACCCTTATCTCATCTCAATCTCTCTTTCTGCCAGTAGATGAAAGCAAAGAGAACTAATTCCAAGAAAAGTGAATTCTAAGGAAGCTCAAATTCAATAAGTAATCAAAATGCCAATTCAACTCATTGTTCTCTGTTCTAAAAACTAGCTCCACTTCATTTCCTTCACTTCAAATCACAGCCTCGGTTGAAATTCCATGGTCCCTCAAGTTAGTTGAGCAATCATTATCCCATCCAAAATTAAAAATGATCATCATTCAATCCAGGTTCCCAGACCATCAGTAGTTTTTGGGTCAGAAGCTCGCCATGTTATATATTTTAAATAGCAAACAATGGAACTTCACTATAAGAAAGTTCAACAGAATAAAAACTTCATTTGGCCTATCATATAAGTATCCCCGAGCTTAAACAACTTTTTTTTTCTCTTTATGGCACAACCAAGAAGTATCTGAGACCCTATTAGTGAGTCTTTCTTAACTAGTATTTTTAAAAATAGAAAATTCTCAAAATAGTCCCTACTCCATTCTTGTATATCTAATTTAATCCCAGAGTATCAAATTGCTACAATTTAGTACTTCAACTTCACAAAAAGGTCCAAAATAGTGCCTCATATTCTAACTGTGATATGAAATTGCTCCCAATTTAGTCCATCAACTTTACAAAATTGATCCTAGTTTACCCTCAAATGGACCATTTTGTATCAAATGTTTATAGTCGATGGATTGAATTGGATCAATGTTATATTGTGAGACTAAGATGGCCATATATGAATAGTCAGTGGATTATTTTGAAATTTAACCCTTTTCAAAATATATAAAAACTTCAAAACAATATATTGCCATTGCTAAAGTTGCAATAGAAATTATGCCACAAAAGAAAAACATCCTAATATTATCTAAAGACAACCAGGCCCCATCACTACTAATAAAAAACTAATTATTAAGGGTATCAGAATATATAAGTAGTATTTTTTATCTATTTTATTTCTGTTTTTCTTTTTCCTTTTTATGTTGGTGAAGGTGTTTTGGATGTGGACATATAAAATTGAGTGGTGTTTCGATGAGGAGAGATAAAAATTGGGTGATAAAATGTGAAGAGTATAGTGGGAAGCACAACTGGCATATAATCTAAAAGTCTGGTTCAGAGCTGTAGATATTTCAGAGAAGATGTTTAAAGCAAAAGTTATGTCAAAGATCCAATTCTTGCAGCAAGTAGTTGAAGGGTACACTATAGCTCCTGCCCCTCTCATTACACCAATTTTATTTGACACAACTCACCTTCTTGGTATGACCTAATTATCCTCAAATGTTGGCCGTTGCATTACATTCAAGAAAATTCAGCCGCAATAGTACACTCCATCAAAATGATAGACAGTAATCAAAGAAATCAGGAATGATAAAAAAATACAAGGAAACTTAAACCCAAAAAAATAAAATCTATGCATAGTAAAAATATGATAGGAAGTAAGTGCAGAAATCACAAAAATAGTAGCTGAAATTTGGAATTTCAGCAAGCACCAAGAAGAAATTGAAGAAATCCCTTGGAAAAGCAATACATAAACTTGATAATTGATGAAAAGTGGAAGAAAACAAGCAGGATACAATGGATCTTCAATTCGAGAGGAAGATCCGGCTCTCCCAATCTCTAACCGGTAGCTAGAGCCCAAGCAAACCTAGAGAACTCCTACATTCAGCAATAAACAAGCATAACCCTAACCCTATGATGAGAATAACTATTAAAAGCAAACAATACAAAGTAAAAATTCAAAACAACCCTGCAAATTCAAATCTCCAGCTCATCAGCCCCCTCTCTCTCTCTCTTCCTTAACGCATGGAGCCCACCCCAAGGGGTCGGGACTTGCCTGGGCGGAACCAAGCTTCCGCCTGGTATAAAATTGGGCTGGTCTAACATAATACACCCATCAACTAGCTTTTGTAAGCAAATTAAGTGTGTGTGTGTATATATTATTGTACTTTAATGATTATAAATAATGCTTCAATATTAGCCAATTAATTGTTTGCTTCAAATTGATAAACAACACAAAAAATATAAATAGATGAATTAAAACAAATTAACTTTGCGTACAATCCTCCATGAACGAGGATAACAAGAAAAAATCATGGCTCAATAACCCAAAAATCGGAAAATATGATCTCATTAAAAACTTTCCACATTACCAACATTAGTCAGTAATCTTAGACACATACAAGACCATAATAATACTCAATTCACTGAGTAAATAGCTTATTGGAAAGAAGAACATGCTAATAATTTCGTAGTCACTGAAGGCCAAGGGAACATGTAGGGAAACCTATTTTTATTGAGGTCACACGAAGCCCGCAAGCTTTGAGCACGACACCGATGCTGCTTGCTGTTACACCCTTCCCTAAACCACTTACCACACCACCAGTCACCAGCACATACTTCATTTGTTTCTTTGTTGTTGTCACTGACATTTGTGCATCCGTTGTTATCATTTGAGCATATGTATCAATTTTCTTCCTGAAACCATCACCTCGCACAGCTTTTTCTTCCACCACAAATTGTCGGAGTTGAGTAGAATTCCACAGTGAAGACAATCTATTTGAACAGGGAAAATGAAAACCACTGAATTACTTTAGTTAAGAATATCCAGGAAAGTGGTGTAATCGCTCTAAGCAAACAAGCATGGTCATTTACCTTTGAGAAACACTGAAGTTAAGGAGTGGGATGGGTAAGGTTACTCCTATTCCATTTTGTAGTAGTTGTACCCCTTTGGAAAGGCCAATTCCACTGGATAGCATCTAAAAGCTAATTAACAATAATGATGCTATGAAAATGTAATTAAGAGTTCATGTTTTTTTTTACTTAATTACAAAAGGGAAGGCCGTTAAGAATAAAAATTGAAGCAATATTGGGGCTCTGTTGAGGTTAAACAAGGTAGTTAGTCATGCTGAGTAGGTCATTGCATCATTAAAAAAAATAACATCAAAATAAGTAAATACTTATATCATATATAAACAAGTAAAAGAAAGAAAATAAAAACAGTGAATTGTCTGATACTTCACCCAGCAAAGCTCAATCTCTATAATACTTCATAAACAGACATATTTTCAGGCTTCACATTGCATTGCCAGTTAAAGTGCCTGATTTCAAAATACCAATTGCAAGCCTCATTCCAAATAAGAACTACTTCAAACTCCATAATTCATAATTATAGCACTCTTAACTGCGTATCCATTGATAGAAGATGGCTCTTGATCTTTGCAATTATAAATTTAAAGTGGAAACATATCAAAATCTTAAAATTTTTTAGAAACTCAGGCGTTACAAATCTACTTTTCTAGATACAAGCATCATATATGAACTAAGAGGAGCAAGATCATCAAAGATGAATCTGTAAAAAGAAACAAAATGATATCAATTCATGTTAATTTTCATTACATGATCGTCTTTAGTATTTTGCTTATTCTTGTAGAAACGTCATTATATACTATTATTAAATTTCTTCAATGCAAACTATGCCTACACATATAATGTAATTGTTCAATTATTTCTGTGATTAAAGGCATGCACTAACGTATTTGAAAAGTATGTTTGAAGGTGAATAAATTTACTCTTTTCGTGCATGGCAATATGAAATTGCGCTTGTTCATCAAAGCACACAAAGTATACATGTTTGAGCATTTTGCAGTTTTGTTCTTTTATTTTTAATGATAGTAAAGTGAAACAGTTTTCAAACTTTTGAAAACCCCCAATTTGTCATTGGGATTTTATTAAAAAAGAACGTAACTCGGTCCATGCTATCAAATGACAAATCAATTCTTATAAGAAAAACTATAAAGGAAATGCCCTTGTCAAAAATGAATATTCCACTCACCAGTCTCCTTCTCTCTCATGCCAAAGTGGGTTGAGTCTGTGTAAGATGTGGCTGGCCTCTTCCAAAATCCCTCTCTTACTAATTAAGGTCGACTACAATGTGGTTCAATAATCAATATGCTTCTTGTGCTTAGATCTCCCTATTACAAGTTAGTAAAAAGGAGGTAAAGAGAGGGATGTAGATAGGAAAAAAAATGAACCAACCAACACAGTAGGACGAAATGCAATTTTTTCATTAAAAAAGTATCAAAAATATTTCATGGATATAGCATCGACTACCACATAATTGATTTCAACAAGTGGTTTCAATAGATTATACTTAAATGGAGGAAAATGATGGCCAGAACACACACCTCATCCCCACCCACACACACACACACACACACACACAAATGGACCTAAGTGAGTTTTTTTAAAGAATCATGGACCGAGATTACGACAATGAGAAAAATAATAAGATCATACTGCAAAAGCCAAAGACGATGGTGATAGAAATGATTCACCGTAGCTAACGATTTTCATCGACAAATACGATGCCAGAGTTTTTAAACTTACAGCATCATAAAAATGCAGCCCAGAAAACACTAGAATTCAACAATTTTATCATACCGCGTCCCATTTTCCCTCATTTCAAACTTTATAGATTTCCATAACTTAAAGAGTTCGGCATTTTCTTAATACCATTCAATCGCTGTTACCACCATGTGAAATACGAAGGAAAGAAAGTGTAAACAGTGCAGTATAAAGAAATTAAGGGAGTTGAAGGTACCTTCACCACAGCGGCGGAAGCCGCCAAAAGCCGCCCGGAGCGCAGTGGGTGCTTGGAGGGGAACTTACCACTTGAATGGGTATTTCGCAGCGAAGCTATTCGGAGAAGAGAAACCCTTTACCAGTGCCGGTAGAGGAGGCGGCCCAGACAAGAAGCTCTTCCCCTGCAGAACTGTAGTGGGCTGAGTACCGGCAAATATATATATATCCGATCTTTATTTTTACGTCATGTGTTTCTTAATTGATATTCTGAAAATATTTTTTTACATAAAGATTTTAAAATATCTTTAAAAAAATGTCATTATATTAAAATATAATATATAATCTATCGTATTTACACAAATATCCGAATGTTAGTAAAGCTCAAACTTATCGCTTACATCCATTTTCTATGATAGTTTTTAGAATTGTTCTTCGTGCCTTTTCATTGTGACTCCGTATAGCTCGAAACCATCAAAACTCTCATGTGATACCTTCCAACATCCATAGGAAAGGTGAGTGTATGACATTTTTTTAAGTTACAATGAGCTCACTATCTCTTTGAATACCAACAGTTACAATTTTTCGGGTCCCAATTGATTATTGATGTGGAATTCCTTTGCCCACAGTATTCCGCATGGCCACCGCAACCTTAGTGATACCTTTTTTTCGTTATTCAGCATAGCTTCCACTACTCCTACAGCTAATCATAGTACTATAGTACATTTACCTTTTCTTACTCTTGTTGCACCTTTTCTTATAAACTGAAGTCTCTCTTATAGGAAGGGGATATAATAGACGAAAGTAATTTTTACTCCTTTGAATATTACCAGTAAAGCTTTATTGTTATCCTTATTCTGTTTGCATTGTCCCTGTTTTTCCTATTCTATTGCTTCCACATCAATTATTTCTATAAAGAGGCGCTATATTGCAAAAGTCAAATGACAAGTAAGAGCATGATGGAAAAAAATAATAAAGTAGTTTGAAATACATGGTATTTTTGAAAATATATGGTATGTTAGATTTAAGAATACATATTTTAAATTTTTTAATTTACTTTAATTACTAGCTTGGGATATTGTGAACTTATAATTAACAATAAGCTTGAGGCAATTACCTAAATAGTAAAAAAAAAAAAATTTAAGAATAAAAGTTTGTGAATAAATTCATGTAATGGATATTGGGCGGATCCAACTTTTTTTTTTTTTAGGATGGGCAACAACCCTTGGCAATGAATAAATCCGAATAACACTAAATAAATCTGAGGTATCTACAATAACACTTGGCAATGAATGACATATTCCAATAATAGCCAAGCCTACAAAAAATAAAACTAATCAAAAGGTATACCTATAACACAGATCAGAACCTACTACCCAAAGAATAATTCTTTTATTTTTAATGATTTTGAGTTTTGTCTATTTCTACCCTTATGACATTAATAAAAATGAAATATCTTCCATTTTTTTGAATTTTCATCATGTAATTTTTTATATATTATATATATTAGCATCATAAACATTTTGATTGGTTTATTTTGAAATTTTACTAATTAATTTTACACATATATCATTTTCTTTGAAATGAGTAGAAAAACACTAAATATGATTTTATCAGGAGCCAATATACTGCATCTGGACAAGAGATACACGATCTATATTAATTTACTATTCATTTGATATAACATGTATTTTAGCATTATACATGCATACTACTAAGTATAATAATGGTTGTATTGGGTTTACATGATATTTGGCATTATGATTTATATGACATGTATGAAAGCAAAAAAAAACACAAAAAAAGGCTAGCTAAAAAAGATTGATTAATTCAGGTTGGTTAGGAACATGTTAACTTGTATAAGATGGTGGGTCAATGGGCTTTCATTTAAATAAGATTCATGATGTGATCCTTAGTGGTATGAAATTAGAGAATAAGAAGATTCACTGATATGACATGATACGCCAATGGCGATGAAGTGATTATTTCTCATATGAAAGCAATTTGACTTGTGATATGTGATATAAGATTGATTTCTGGTAACATAATTGATATGATTGAGACTAATTATTATTTGGTTTGAAGTTAAAGATGAGAAGAAGAGAGAGGAGAGATAAAAGCCATTGAATCATATTTGTGAGTCTTATATATTGCAAATTTGTTCTTTTTATTATAAGTGACTAATATCTTATTTTTATTTTCAATTATTTTAATTTCTATGGATACAAATTTTATTTCTCCTAAATTTATCAAAAGTATATTATCTATTGATGTCATAAGCTTTCATTATGCAAATTTAGATATGTTATAAATTGATCATTCTGAATTATTTGATATAATTTTATTATATTTTAAATGAAGTACTGAATGATATCTGATACATGATATGATAACTCCATTTGATATTCTACTTATTCTATTATTCACATGACTCGCTAATTAGAAGTTATAAGGTGTTGGAGATTGATTGTGAGTTATAAGGAGTCGGGGCAACTGATTCATATGATTAAAGGGAAGTTATATGGAGTACATTGGTTGAGAGCTATAATGGAAGATTGATTGATAGTTATAAGTGTATGAGCAAGATTCACTCATTGAATATCTGAATACTGATATCGACACTGCTACGAATATTGTATTGATATTGTGACTGACACTAATATCGTTTATTATCATGAACACTATTTAACATTATTGATGATGATACCAATATTATTACTAATATTAGTACTATTGACAATTATTGTTACCGTGATTGATGTTTTAATGAATTGAGATGTGATGAACTATATAAGGATAAATTGATATAAACAATCAGTATATGCATTAATGCATATATTTCATAATAAAATTTATATTATATTATTCTCTTTTATCTTGCATTGATTTCAATGATAAGATTTTAGTTACTTGTTGGGCTATGTACTCATTACATGCTTTTACATGTTTTCATAAAATTGTAAAGATTATATGGTATAAGGCTCTGAACAAGACAAAAATGCAATTATGTTTCCTTTAGTTGTTCATTGGTAAGCTCTAGTTAAATAATTAATATAAAAATTTAATGTAATTCTTTCAATATAGATCCTGGAGTATGACATGATATTTGATATTATGATTTATATGATATATATGAATGAAAAAAGGCACAAAAATGCTAGTTAAAAAATGATTGATTAATTCAAATTGGCTTAAGACGTGCTAACTTGTACAGGAGGGTGGGTCAATGAACTTTTCTTTAAATAAGATTCATGGTATGATCCTTAGTGTTATGAAATTAGATATATAAGAAGATTGACTGATATGACATGATACACCAATGGAGATGAAGTGATAACTTCTTATATAAAAGTCATCTAACTTGTAATATGTGGAATGAGATTGATTTTTGATAATATGAATGATATGATTGAGACTAATTCCTATTTGATATGAAGGGACTATAGAACTTTATACACAAAAAAAAAAGTAGTTAGATGCCCTACCTTGCTTATATATGCATAAGAAATGAGCATACCAGATAATTTTCATAAGTGACATGATATAATAATATATGAACATGATTGATACATGCACATAATGTCTTTAATAAGACTGATAAATTTGATGTAAATATACTTTGCATTTGATATAGAACAAAATATTCATACATTTATATTGTATTACATGTATGATATAAATTTAGAGACACTAATACATATATACATGCATAAATTCATGATAGACATGTTGTATTATACTTGACATGAGCATAACCATGACAAAATATATTGATCATATATATATATAAAGGAGGGAGAAATTATTCTGTGCGGAATCCGGTTATAGAGCTGTGTTCGGATGCTAGTAAAATCATTACACGTGGCATGCTTACGTGGAAAGTTAGGATATTCATTTGACTTCTTACTCGACCCGTTTGTCTTTTCGGACTCACTGTAGACGAAGAGAAATCCGCAACAAATAAGCAGTAAATAAGCAGAAAATGCGCAAAATATACACAAAAAATACTCAATAAATACGCAATAAAATACTCAATCAATACACACATTTTACACAACGAATACGTAATAAATACTCAATCAATACGCAAGTCAAATAAATATCACGGACTTTTAACTTTCAACGTAAGCATCCGAATACAGCTCTATAACCGGATTCCGCACAGAATAATTTCTCCCAAGGAGGGGGTGGTGCATAGGGGTGTCAATTCGGGTCAGCGGGTCGGGTTCGGGTCGAACCCGGAACTGACCCGGCACTGTTCGGGTCAACCCGAACCCGACCCGACACGAATGACCCGAAGTTGACCTAAAATTACTAATGTTTGGGTCAAAAATCGGGTCAATATTCGATTTTCGGATCAAAATCGGGTCAATCCCGGGTTTTCGGGTCAAATATGAGTTTTCGTGTCACTTTTGGGTCAATTTCGGATCAATTTCGGGTTGCTGGGTCAACCCGAACCCGACCTGATTTTTAAAACGGGTTGATTTGTTCAACCTGAACCCAACCCGTTTCGGATTTGAATTGACCCGAACCCTAATTTTTCTGGGTCGAATTCGAATCGTGATTCGGATCGTGTCAAAAATTGACACCCCTATGGTGCCAACAAGCTGAGCTTACGACCTTAGCCGTTCGCAATCCAGTTTCTCTGTAGTTCTGATTTTCTCTTCCTAATCTAAACCCCCGAAGTCCAAAAACCCTAATCATGTCCTTCTACCGACAAACCCTCCTCCGATCCCTCCGTACAGTAGCCGGCGCTGTTGCCGAAGCCGTTGAGCCGCGACCCGCAGTGCTCAGATTATTATCCCGGTCGTACGCCTTCTCCTCTGCCGAGGAAGCAGCCGCCGAGCGCCGCCGCCGTAAGCGCCGCTTACGCATCGAGCCCCCCCTCCATGCCCTGCGTCGCGACCCCAACATTCCCCGTCCTCCACGCGATCCTAACGCTCCCAGGTTACCCGATTCCACCTCTGCCCTCGTCGGCCCCCGCCTATCTCTTCATAACCGCGTGCAAACCCTCATCCGATCCGGAGAGCTCGACGCCGCCTCCTCCCATGCACGCCACGCTGTCTTCTCCTCCGTCAGACCCACTGTGTTTACATGTAACGCCATCATGGCGTCCATGCACCGCGCCCACCGCCTCGACGATGCCGTAGCCCTTTTCCACTTCTTTTTCGTTCAGCAGAACATTGTCCCCAACATCGTCTCCTACAACGTCCTGATCAACACCCACTGCGATGCTGGCCGCGTTGACACCGCCCTCGAAGTTTACCGTCACATACTGGCCAACGCCCCTTTCTCTCCTTCCCCTGTCACCTATCGCCACCTCACAAAGGGCCTGATTGACTCTAGCCGTATCACCGAGGCCATCGATCTCCTCCGCGAGATGCTCAGCCGTGGCCATGGTGCTGACTCGCTCGTCTACAACAACCTCATGTCAGGCTTCATCAACCTTGGCAACATGGACAAGGCCCTTGAGCTCTTTGATGAGCTTCGTGAGCGGTGCCTTGTTTATGATGGGGTTGTGCATACTACATTGATGGAAGCTTACTGGAAGCAGGACAAGGACAAGGAGGCCATGGAGTCTTACCAGTCCCTCATCGATCGCCAGTTCAAGATGACCCCAGCTACATGCAACGTTCTCCTGGAGACCCTCCTGAAGCATGATAAGGTGGCGGATGCCAACAAACTATTCGAGCATATGCTGGATGAGCATAAGCCCCCAAATTTCATGGCTCTTAACACGGAAACCTATAATATAATGGTTAACCGTTGCTTCCACGAAGGAAAATTTGCTGAGGCCATTGAAGTTTTCCACAAGACGGGGTTGAAGCCTTTTGCCATGGATGTTGGTTGCTATAATAATATTATTGGTAAGCTATGCAAGAATGGAATGCTAGAAGAGGCAGAAAAGCTGTTTGAGGAAATGCCGAGCAAGTCTATTAACCCTGACACTGCTTCTTATGGATTCTTGGTTGATGCATGCTTTGAGAATGGTCGTCTTGAGGATGCTATGGAATATTTTGGCAAGGTGGTGGCTAGTGGAGAGGGTGCCCCAAAGGCTGTCCTGGAAGTATACAACAAGACCTTTGATGGTTTGGTGAGAGCTGGAAGAATAGGTCAGGCTATGGATATTTTTGAGAAGATGGGTGAGAGAGAGGTAAAGCCAAATGCATTATGTTATGAGATTTTGGTCACTGGCCTATGTAAAGAAGGAGACTTGGACCGTGGACGGGCATTGTTGGAAGAGATGGTAAAAGGCGGCATTCGTGCTAGCATTGAGCTTCGTTCATTTGTATCAGACACTTTTCAGATGGCAGGACGGGGTGGAGAGATTGAATTGCTACTTGCTGGTAAGAGGGACTCCAGTCCTCAAATCACTTCTGTCCAACAGATGGCGCCCAATACTGCTTCTGAAGCTTCCATTGATCAGCAGGTAGCGGTCTGATCTTGACTGCTTCATACTGGAAACTCTTATTGATGCATAGCTTGAAAATCTTTGCGCTGCTGTGTGTACTAGTTTTAGTGCTATTGGTCAGTTAGTTAGATACACAAATGTTTCTCTGGTGCAGGTGGGAGCAATTGTTCAATACTCTAGATGATCTTCTAAGAGGAAATACTTGCCTGTTATTGACACAGTTTGGTTGGATTGCTTGTTCCAATTTCGTTTAGTTATCTATGAATGCCAGGAGATCATGTTATTTGATGAACTTCACTATTTTTTATATGATAAAATGATATGTTAATTGGATCATGTTTGATGGCTTTTTGAGTGTCTGCGTTCTCTATTATTCTTCCAAACAACATGCCATCGTCTCTCTCGCTTTCAGCATGTTTTCTTTGTTTAAAATTTTGAGTAGTTATTGCGTCAAACATGACCAAAACATGTTTTCTGCAGAAACATAACTCACCGTCTAACTTAATATGGACCAAATATATGGCATTATCCACCAAACGATGCTTTTTTTTTAACGTTTGATTATCCAATTTCAGATCTCAAGCTTTATCAACTATTTGATTGTTGTCTGAAAACATCTTGTTATTATTCTTCTTACATGTGATTATTGATTTCTGGTTGGGAATAACCAGATCTCATCAGATATTCAGATATAGCAGATCTAGGGAATTGAAGAGATGTATGATAGCAAGCAGATCCAGTTTTATGGTTACTAGATGCTACTAGAAAATAGGCAGGATGAGAGGGGGAAAAAAAGAGAGAAAATGAGGAGATTGACATATATATTTTATTTGAAAAGGACTCACAGATATTACTTGAAAAAAAAAAAAAGATGGTCAACTTAAGAATCTTAAATAAATTTCCTTGTTAGACCTTCTATGTAAGGTTGCTAAAGATTTTTTTTTTTTGTATTTTATTTAATTTTTATGGTTTTTTTTTATATTAGTCCTTGTATGATAAATTTTTTATGTTAGGAGCTGTTTGGTTGGATGAAGAAAAGAATACAATGTAAAAGGAATGCATTGTATTTTAAATATTTTGGAGTTGTTCGGATGAGTTTAAAATAAATATAGGCGAGTACTTTTTTTTGTTTGGTTTGAAGCAAAATGAATGCAGTGCATTGTAAAGTTCAAAATGAACGCAAAATGCTGGTAACACTAAAGTAGAACTTGGACGTATATCCCACTCTATTGCTTAACTTAGCTTCTTCAAATCATATGTTGTCCCAGTTTATTCCGGTGAAAGTTTGATTAGGGATTTCTACAAACATTTGTATTTCTTTTATCTAACCTTAAAGCTTCGTCAAATATTGAAGCGTATTCAATTCAATATTTGAATTAGATCATTGGCTACTAGGCTTAAGAAAAGGAGATCCAATATGGAGAAGCTAAACATAACAAATTTGGGTGATTAGTATAACTAATCGTAGAAATATACAAAAAGGATTGCCATGCCTGTTTTTTTGGGAATGAAATATCCACCGATGCCACCCGCGATAGGGTGCTTGACGGCGTGACTAATCCTCGGCTGACCTAGAAGAGCCACCCACCCTAGAAATCTTCTGACCCGCACTTGATTGGGCATCACTTAAGAGGCGTTGCCGCTCGAGAGGAATCTAGGACGGGTTGGGGGTTCTCAACCGTACTCGCCCACCAACCAAGCTAAGCATCGGTGAGTATTACCAGGCCTATTGAGCACACTATTGGTATAGACGAATTTGTTATGAGGTATTGGTTGCATACCACCATACCAAAGTAATTGAGGTCGGTCTTCCAAAAATACAATTATAACCTGGGTCACAAACAACAAGAAACCACATTGCTTAACTTCGTAGGTGTCTAGAATCCCCCAGATAAATTCAAGGGTAGAAATTTCAGGTTGTCATCATTCCTACAATGGATTCATTATAGATATTTCAATAGATATTTCTATAGGGAGGAAGATCATCCTGAAAAGGAGGAGGAGAAGAAGAAGTTTCTTCAGGTTGCACTGTAGAGCATTTTCACGACCTACTCTCCCAGTAATAGCTTGAACGGCCTTAATGGCAGGGATGCGCTTGCATCGTCATTGGGGAACTCTTTTCTATGTTCTTAATTGATTAGTTTCTTTAAAAAGATTTTCAAAACCTTGGAAATTTCAGCAGTATTGTTGTCATAGTATTTATGATATAAATATAATATGAATATATCCCTCTCTCTAATGGCAAATTATTCTGTGTGGACACCGGATGTAGGCTTGCGTCCGGATTGCTGCGCTTTTACTGTGCTTTTGTAAAAGAGTAGCTAATGCATAATTTTAATTGCATATTAACTGCCATTTTGTTGTACTTTTACTGAGTATTTGAAAAGTGCATCAAAAGGTCAGCAAATACTCAACGAGTAAGATATTTGCTGCACTTTTGCTATATTTTTTCAAATACTCAGCAAAAGGGCAGCTAATATGTAATTAAAATTATGTACTATCTGCCATTTTGCAAAAATACATAAAAACACAGTAAAAGCGTAGCAATTCAGACGCAGGCTTGCGTCTGGTGTCCGCACAGAATAATTTGCCCTCTCTAACACCCTTCTTTAATAGTGCAGGCCACCTAAAAGAATCTCTCATTTAAGTGGTTATCATTACAGAAGTTAAGGATGAATTAAGACGAGGAAGGTGAACTTCTTAAGGCTTAATGATGTTGAAATGAAAGTGTAAGTTTTTTGGCTTCTCATAAGAATGATGCTTTTTGGGAATTCCCTCATCGGGATAAGTGGATTTTTGGGTACTTCCATGGATTGGTTAGAGCAGACCCTGCGCCATGTTCTTCTAAGAACCTCTTCTTATTAGGATGAAACAAGATGTATTTGGTTGAAATATTAGTTTCTTGAATTAAATCTTCAACACCAGCAAACCTAATTTCCTTCTTGAGCAACTCTTCAATAGTGACAAGAAATTTGTTAGTAGAGGTGTAAACGAGTTGAGTTGTGTCGAGTAGTGGCCTTACCGAGCATGACTTGTCAGTTAGAAAGTCAGCTTGAACTCAAGCTCGAGTCAAGCTTAAACTCGAGCTCGCCCCACTGTAAATGTGCTCAAGCCGACTCACGAGTCTCGGCGTCGTTTGCCTCTGTGTCCTCCGCCTTGTTTCGACGAGCTCGCGAGCCTCGGCGTCGTTCGCCTTCGTGTCATCTGCTTTCGTGTTATCCGCTTCTGTGTCGTTTGCCTCTTTCAGAGTTCCCATGCGCGCCGGCCTTGGAATCGCACAAGATCACCTCGTTTTGACTTCCGAGCACTCACGGGAGTAGTGATGGGATTTTTAAAATTAATAAACAAAGAAAAATTATTTAAAAAATATTAATGAGTGATTTGAGCCGGCTCGCGAGTTCACGAGCCGAGATTCATCAAGCTCGAACTCGAGCTCATTTAATAAACGAGCTTGTGGCTCGATAAGCCGGCTCGCGTACACCCCTAGTTATTAGCAATGACGAATTTGTACTTCCCAATCGCAGCCCCAAAACAAAGGTAGCCTTGACATCATATTTGTCTCCATCAGTAACACCATGGGTGGCTCTTATGAATCAAGCGACTAATTGTGAACATGATCTCCTTCAACTTATTTTACAAAGAAAAGAAACTTTGTGATCTTAAGAGATTGTTTGGTGACAGATAATTGTTATTTCACTTCAAATAACAATAGTCTTTTCAACAGACGTAGCCAAGAAATGTGAACAATAGAGATTGATTTTTTCAAGAGATATGAGATGGGAATAAGAATTTTTTGGTCAAGTTTGATCGACTATCTCTGCTCCTTAAGGTTTTGTTTGGGACGACTTTCTTATTGTTTTTCAAAGTAGTTTTCTAATATAAAAATTTAAATTTTTATGCTAGAAAGTTGATTTAAGAAGCAGTAAGAAGACCGTCCCAAACGAAGCCTAAATATATTATAGTTCATAATAACTTGGACGATTGAACCATGAAACTTGATCGTGTACGTCGCTATCACCCATCATTCAATATGAGCCAATAGTGATATATTCTTTCCCATCAAGTGAAACAAAAGCACTAAAAAGTAGTAGCCTTAGGCTTCGTTTGATATAGTTTTTTTGTTGCTTTCTAAAATAGCTTTTTGATACAAAAATTTCTTGAATGAAAAATAATTGTATTTGAAAGCCGTTTTAGAAAGGAATAAGAAAGCTGTCCCAAAAGAAGTCTTAATTTAAAGTTTTCTTGTACTCGAGATGGGTGTTTTTTATAGAATTTATTTTTTATGAGACACCTTGAATTAGTTCATTGATTCTGTTATTAGCGCGAATGTTTAATCGGCCTTCTAAAAGAGTAACCATAGTTCATTTGAATATAGTAAGAACAGAGATAAATTTTAAAGTCCACATCAATATATTAATATGTTTTTTTAGCTTTGCATTGGAAGCCATCATTTCTTTTCTCACTAAATTTGATTTTGGCCTATAGAAAATAACAAAAACCCTAATTTAAGTTCTGCTGAAGCCAGACTGTTGGTGGGAAGAGAAGTATTGTGTGTGGCATGAAGAGCAATGGAATGAAGGAAACCTGAATTTGGTTGTTGAATCTGCTAATGTATCTCCATTTGATAGTATTTTTTGCTAATATTGGGCTTTCAAATGTGTTATTTATTTATTTGTTTTGAGACATTTCAAATGTTGAGCAAATATCTACAATAGCATTGTCTATAATTTGTGCTCTGCTGAGGAAGAATGAAGTACTCAATCATTAAGGGTTTATTTGAGACAGCTTTCTTATTGCTTTTTAAAACAACTTCCTATTAGAAATTTTTTATTTTTTAAACTAGAAAGCTGCTTTAAGATGCAGCAAGAAAGCGGTCTCAAACAAAGCACAAGGTAATTAGGTGGCCTTCTCAAGCCACATCTTCAAAATTAAAGGAGCGACTCGGGTGGTCTGTTCCTCAAAGGTTATAGGCACGACCTAAGCCCAAGCATGATCTTTCCATGGAAAACCAGTGTGACAGATCATGCCGTTCTTGCTTCCCCTTGTCTAGGATTTCCTTCCATATTTAGATGGCATAGAAGCATTTCATAGCTCTTACTAAATTTCTTAGAAGTGAATTTTTTATCTACACCGAGATGAGCATGAATAGCCCAAGGAGAAAGAAAAGGGTTAGCATTAATAGATCGAACATTGTGTTATATAAAATCATGCCAAAGTAGCTAGAAGTCAAATAGGATCCATTAAAAATGATAAAAAATGGGAAGGTTTGATGTTGCCATATAATAACTCAGAGAGATGTGTAAATTGTGGCTCAACATCACATTAAAAGATTGGATCTCTTAGTGGGTAAATTAACTAGAAAGTTATTGAGCTTTGAGACATCAATGACAATGAGCAAGTTAACAAGCAAGTTGAAGTTGATGAGAAGTGACTGTTTATGAGTTGGTGGTAGGCAAGTCGATATGTTAGCATCAACTTGTAGGCATATTCTGAGTTTTAGGGTTTTTTTTTTTAAAATGCTTCTAGTTTTTTGTTATCACATACCTCTACTTTATAGTGTATATCGAGGAATTTGGCACATTAAACCTAGAGGCTTCTAAGGGTTATCAGTCTTCCGTACTACCACAAGATAATGCATAGAGTGCTGGCCCGCTAGGTGGTGCCCCATGATAAGAGGAATGACAAATGATAAGAGGCAAATGCAACATCTATAATTGTGATGTTATTGAAGAAGTTATATTTTATCTTCCTCAAACAAATGATTTTGGCATAAAGGAAGCATGGTCAATTCTCATCTCTTTAATCTTAAAAAGTGAGAAAGAAGGAATATGGAATAATGCACACACACATGTCCGAATTATAATGTACGTCTAAACATCTTAAGTATTTTTCAGCCTTTTATTATTGAAAGTATACAACTTGTGTCATTCTAAGCTCAATCTGTTCTTTATGTATGAAACATCCTAGGTTCCTGATATTCATCAAATTGAGGGAAGGGTTGATATTGACTATAACTTGATTTTTTTTTTTTACAATTTGTTTTCATCTTGGCATAGAGCATGCAAATATGTTAAGGTGCTCTTAGAAATACATGTTTGTTAGTGATTGTGATACTTGTGACATCTATTATATAGAATGCCTCTCTCAATAGAGAAAACTTAGATGGACTTTGGGATTGAGGAGTGCTTTGATCAAGTCTCTCTCAAATTTTACTACATCATTGATACATCATAAATATTGATGAGATATGACAACATTAATAAATGGATGATGACATTTTAATCCATTGTAGTTAATGAGACATGTGTACTATTTATTAGTTTGTCTTTATTTTTGAGAGATTTGAAAAAAAAAAGTATAATCTTCTTCATGATTCATGAACCATGATAGTCATACCTCTTTACTTGGGTGTTCACTTAGACATTTATGGTGGGAGGATTTTCCCATGTTGAGGCCACGTTTCATTGATTACTTCAACCCTTGAATCTTTAATGAATCCTATGAGTTAATAGTGTGCTCTTTCTTACGATTATAATTCGACTCTCTGAGTTCAACTCTTGTTGCAAATTTGAAATTTGGGTGCTGACTAGTTTGAAATCATTGATATGATTTTCAATGTAACATTCGCCATTTTAACATATGAGTGCAGGCTCATCATCATCTTCTTCTGATGCGTACTTTGAAAGTTTGTATTATCGTTGGGTCCTATCTTATAGGATATCATAAAACAAATACCATTATGTGATATCATTCATTCAAAAGTTGTAGGATTGGACAAGAAGAAACCCATTAGCATTGGAGCAAACATGATGGACACTCCTTCCTAATTTTGAATTAGTCATTTTGTAGCCTCTGTAAGCCAATAAACAGCTTGATGGGGCCTTCTCATGAGCATATAAAATTTGTTTGAGCTGCTTATTTCATGATCTTTTGAAAAAAGGAGAATTCGATTTGTCCTTTATGTATGCAACAAATATGATAGTTTTTTATTTATTTAGAGTGATAAAAAATATTTTAGCCTGAATTTATCTATTGATCCTGGATTTCTCATTACAAATATGATCTAACATGAGGCCATATTTAATAAAAAATATATTTTAATTTATCACTTAAAGAAGTATTACTAGTTTCAAAAGGGAGATTTATATATACAATGTATAAAATATGAGGATTTATATATTTAATATATAAACTTTGTTATTTTATATTTATGAAATTAAAATATCAAAATAAAGTAAAAAATAAAGTCCCGAATCTTCATCATTTCATCTCATAATCACACCATTAATCAGGTTGCTCTTCATGTACTATTGATCGGCGTGCCCCATGCGCTTCCACTCTCTATCACTCGAGTAATTATTAGGTGCGGACACCGCACCCAGAGATGCGTCCGGATTATTGGATGCACTGCGTACGCTCTGTTTACACTCTGCTTACACTGCATATTTGTAGATATAGTGATACACAGTAAATAAGCAGCAAATTCTCACACGTAAATATTTGCTGCTTATTTACTGTAATACGTAGTGTATACTTAGTAACCATGCATGACGTAGACAGAGCTTAAGCATAGAATACATAGTATCCAGATGCATCTCTAGGTGCAGTGTCCGCACCTAATAATTACTCCTATCACTCCTATATAAATCCCTAAAACTTTTGACAACAAAAAAACGAGAAAATGACACGAAAGCTCACATGCGAAGATACCAATCGGTTCAAGCCGTGTGGCATGTGATGAAGAAAAGATAGTCGTTTGTGAGGTGAAGGCTTTACAAGGCAAGCATCACGAGATCCGATGATTGGCCGACAAACTTTGTTAATAAATTTTATTTGATATAAATAGTAAAATTTAGAATTTAAATATAATTTTTTTTTAATTTTTTATGCTATATGTTCTTTAAAATAATATTATCTTTTTTTTTCCCCTTAGGTTCTCTAATTATGTCATGATTATTGGACAAATTTTATGCTGGCTATCGACTACCTAACACAACCATTCATTTTTCTCATTCAGAACTTGGGACATGGCAACGACAATGTTAAATGATAATTTAACGTTTAAAACAGCGGTCTTCGGATAACCCGATTAGGAAAGTATATATGTTAGATTTGACTTATGTTAAAAATGATAAAGATAGACCTAAAAAGATTTGATTAGAAAATATTAGAAATGGACTGTCTTTATTAAATTTAAATGAGAATTTAATTTTAAATATGACATAATGGAGAAAAAAATTTATATAGATGACCCCACATTATGTGAGATAAAGATCTGATCAAATCGGGTCCAGAACAAGGGTCACGCCTGATCCGTCCGAGGTGGATGAGCAGCCAGTTTTCTCGCATGTTGGATTCTCTGGTCCTCACGCATCTTATCACTTTATCGCATTGCACGAAATGCAAAGCGACAACGGACGCGATAGGGCATTATTCAAAGCCAGCTCATAGATTAGTTTCAGTTCCGCTGTGTTGATCACCGATTCTTCCTCGGTCGCTCTTGTGTCGCTGCTTTCCCTCTGTTGTCTGCCTTGCTACGCGGATTCCGCTGCAGCTACCATGTCTTCGGGAAATAAAGGTTCTCTTCTGCTTTCCCTTTCCTTTTCTGATTAGAAAATTATTTGTTAGATTCGTTGTGATGACAACGTATGTTGGATACATCCCTTGATCACGGGATTGAGGTATTAGATCCCTTAAATTCCTTAATCAGCCCAAAAATATACTCAGAAGACATTTGATTCATTCAGTTCTGTAACACACTGTAATTCACCAGCTCGTGATTTAATCTGTTAGTCGGGTGAACCCTCGCCTGGATTATCAAAATTATGAAAGTGAATAGTGTAAATGAAGGGGGTTGGGGGGAGGATGTTGTTGTGGTCGAGAGGGAGAGAGATGGTTTAATCTGCAATATGTAATTGATTAATCAGTTCTTATTTAGTTCCATTTATTTTGCTTAGTCTGAAATTAAAGACTAATTAACCATGGTTTCCATAATGAATCATTTATTCTTATTTGATTATTAATTCTTAATTCATCCCAACAAATCATTAGCACACTACTTATATTTAATCCAATTAGATATTGATTAGCTTAATTGATCAACTAAGAACTAATTTCATTTGAACGTTAATTACTCATAAATTCATTGAATAATATCTACTTCATTTGCCTAATTAGTCCAATGTGATGCGCGGCTTTTTATACATGGCGCAGAATTTTGGGTAGACTATTGAAGAGCGTGTTCATGTATTTTGTTTAGGTTAAATGGCTGTTTGGATGCAAGATTTAGTGTAAATCATGGCAAACAACAAAAATTACTCGAGTAATTATTAGGTGCGGACACCGCACCCAGAGATGCGTCCGGATTATTGGATGCACTGCGTACGCTCTGTTTACACTCTGCTTACACTGCATATTTGTAGATATAGTGATACACAGTAAATAAGCAGCAAATTCTCACACGTAAATATTTGCTGCTTATTTACTGTAATACGTAGTGTATACTTAGTAACCATGCATGACGTAGACAGAGCTTAAGCATAGAATACATAGTATCCGGATGCATCTCTAGGTGCGGTGTCCGCACCTAATAATTACTCCTATCACTCCTATATAAATCCCTAAAACTTTTGACAATAAAAAAACGAGAAAATGACACGAAAGCTCACATGCGAAGATACCAATCGGTTCAAGCCGTGTGGCATGTGATGAAGAAAAGATAGTCGTTTGTGAGGTGAAGGCTTTACAAGGCAAGCATCACGAGATCCGATGATTGGCCGACAAACTTTGTTAATAAATTTTATTTGATATAAATAGTAAAATTTAGAATTTAAATATAATTTTTTTTTAATTTTTTATGCTATATGTTCTTTAAAATAATATTATCTTTTTTTTCCCCTTAGGTTCTCTAATTATGTCATGATTATTCGACAAATTTTATGCTGGCTATCGACTACCTAACACAATCATTCATTTTTCTCATTCAGAACTTGGGACATGGCAACGACAATGTTAAATGATAATTTAACGTTTAAAACAACGGTCTTCGGATAACCCGATTAGGAAAGTATATATGTTAGATTTGACTTATGTTAAAAATGATAAAGATAGACCTAAAAAGATTTGGTTAGAAAATATTAGAAATGGACTATCTTTATTAAATTTAAATGAGAATTTAATTTTAAATATGACATAATGGAGAAAAAAATTTATATAGATGACCCCACATTATGTGAGATAAAGATCTGATCAAATCGGGTCCAGAACAAGGGTCACGACTGATCCGTCCGAGGTGGATTAGCAGCCAGTTTTCTCGCCTGTTGGATTCTCTGGTCCTCACGCATCTTATCACTTTATCGCATTGCACGAAATGCAAAGCGACAACGGACGCGATAGGGCATTATTCAAAGCCAGCTCATAGATTAGTTTCAGTTCCGCTGTGTTGATCACCGATTCTTCCTCGGTCGCTCTTGTGTCGCTGCTTTCCCTCTGTTGTCTGCCTTGCTACGCGGATTCCGCTGCAGCTACCATGTCTTCGGGAAATAAAGGTTCTCTTCTGCTTTCACTTTCCTTTTCTGATTAGAAAATTATTTGTTAGATTCGTTGTGATGACAACGTGTGTTGGATACATCCCTTGATCACGGGATTGAGGTATTAGATCCCTTAAATTCCTTAATCAGCCCAAAAATATACTCAGAAGACATTTGATTCATTCAGTTCTGTAACACACTGTAATTCACCAGCTCGTGATTTAATCTGTTAGTCGGGTGAACCCTCGCCTGGATTATCAAAATTATGAAAGTGAATAGTGTAAATGAAGGGGGTTGGGGGGAGGATGTTGTTGTGGTCGAGAGGGAGAGAGATGGTTTAATCTGCAATATGTAATTGATTAATCAGTTCTTATTTAGTTCCATTTATTTTGCTTAGTCTGAAATTAAAGACTAATTAACCATGGTTTCCATAATGAATCATTTATTCTTATTTGATTATTAATTCTTAATTCATCCCAACAAATCATTAGCACACTACTTATATTTAATCCAATTAGATATTGATTAGCTTAATTGATCAACTAAGAACTAATTTCATTTGAACGTTAATTACTCATAAATTCATTGAATAATATCTACTTCATTTGCCTAATTAGTCCAATGTGATGCGCAACTTTTTATACATGGCGCAGAATTTTGGGTAGACTATTGAAGAGTGTGTTCATGTATTTTGTTTAGGTTAAATGGTTGTTTGGATGCAAAATTTAGTGTAAATCATGGCAAACAACAAATATTACAACTTTAAATCCTACATAAATTTAAATTTGGTTCCTTCTCCATTTTACCTTAAATCTTGGATATAATAAATCATGTATTAGGCGGATTTATGAGATTTAGCTGAAGAAGAGTACAAAAGGGAAGAAAGATCATCACCTTTGCGGCAAGCTCCCGTCATGACTTCCAATCCAACAGGAACAACATTATCGTCAACGGAGATAAAAAAGATTCCATGATTGACTTTCAAAACTCTATTTCACATGAAGCATGCGAAACTGAAGAAGTAATGAAGAAATGGAGACAAGGAAAAGCAAACCAAAAATCTTGCCAAACAACAAACGTGACAACTTTAAATCTTACAAAAACTTAAATCCCATTTTTTCCTTAAATCTACGATTTAACAAATCCTAGACTTCGCCAGATTTATGGAATTTAGCTGAAGAAGTCCATGAAAGGGAAGAAAGATCGTTGTTACCTTCACGGTGAGCTCCCATTGTGACTTCTGATCTAATAGGAACAACATTGTTGTCAAAGGAGGTGAAGAAGCTTCCTTGAGTGAATCTTTCAAAACTCCACTTCATGCAAAGCACACGAAGCTAAAGCAACAATGAAGAAATGATGATGAGAAAACCAAACCTTAGACGGTCCTATGGCTTTAAGGTTTTAAGAAGATTAAATCAATTATATTAACTTAAGCTTTTATTTAGAGATTAGAGATTGAATCAATTTTTTTGATATTTCATTAAGTTGATATTTAATTAATTAATAATTGACTGTGATATTAATATATAAACCCTATAAATTTTTATAATTTAAAATTTTATTTTATATAATGTTAAAAAGTTATATGTGCTATTTCTGCTTTGCACCATATGCCATTGCTCATACATGGTGCAAATAGCACGCACTATTTTGAAACCCTATGCCACGCTAAGCAAATAGCGCCTAATGCGCGCCGAGCCATGCCATGCGTCATGACATGTGCTGGTTTGTGCCATTGACATGTATGTTTAGATTGACCTTCTCACAGTTTTATTTTTTAAATAGCAATCACCATGGTGCTTGGCTACCATTCACAAAGGGGAAGATGTTTATAATTGTGACAACAATTTAATAATTAAAAAAAAAAATTCTCTCCACTAACCACATGCATCGTAAATGAACTATACAACATAGATGCTAGGGGTGGAACCGTGTCAAGCCGGCTCGAGCTCGACTCGATAATAGGCTCGACGAGCCGAGCTTATCATGTCTTCGGGAAACAACCGATTGATCGACTCGATAGCTCGTCGAGCAGCTCGATGATGGAGCTCAGGTCCTCGAGATGATGGATCACAATGGTAGTTATGCTCGAACGATGGATCTCGATGACATCGAAGGCAGTGGATGCCGGCCAGATGCTTACGACGGATGACGCGGACTCTGGCGGCGGAAGCGGACGTGGATCTTGGCGGCGGAAGCGGATGCGGACGGTGGAGACAGAAGTGAACGTGACGACGGATGACGACGAATCCGACCTCAGCTGGGAGTGTGACGACGAACGACGAGAGACCCGACCCCACAACAAACACGATGATGGATGACGATGGACCCGACCTTGACTGGGAATGTGAAGACGGACGACGATGGACCCAACCTCAACAGCGAACGCGACGACGATGTTGGATGCGACCTTGACAGCGAACGTGATGACAAACTGTGAGATAGCGAACACGACAACGATGTCTGACTTGGGATGATAGCGGATGCAATGACGATGGACGTCTGCACGGCAGCGGACGCGAGTACGGGACGACATTTTGAGCTCGAATTGAGCTCGACAAGCCGTTCGACAGCGAAACGAGTCTAGCTCAAGCTCGGATTTTGAGCTCGTCCAAGGTCGAGCTCGAGCTCGAGCTCGGTATCTGACAGTTGAGCTTGACTCGAACAACCCCTGACTTGAGCTCGACTCGACTCGTTTGCACCCCTAACAGATGCTGATGTTGAAAGTTGACTTTTCCATTTTCCAGGCTTACTAGGCTTTGAATTCAGAGCATCACCATGTAGAAATGGAGGCTAACAAATATGGGGGATATTGAGACAAATAGTTTTGTTAGCAGGTTAATTGGATAAATATGCCAGAACCTCCTCAGATAGCGTAATGTCGTAATGTTTTCATAAAGCAATCAAGCTTCTAATTCACTATCATTTTTATGAATGTTGGCAAAACCTCTCTAATGCACAATCCTGGTATTGATTGATATGCTTCAATTTAACATTTTGTTCGTTATGCTTTGATACTCGTTGCTTTATAATTTAAAGTATGTTTATC